GGCTTACTGTACAACATGGAGCAAAAATGAGTAGGACAAATGTCAGGACATTTGAGGGCCATTTGTGTTTGGATTAGCAGGCCAAAGCTACCTACCTCTGGTTATTCAGAAAAAAATAACTGTATTGGAAAACCTCTTGAAACTAAACCACATAAAATCCATTCCATGTAATGAGAAGAGCTCATGAAGAGGTCTAGAAGAGCAGGGCATTGTGTTTCTACCTTCTTTAACTCATACATTCTTCTCGGTTTTCTATATCCAAAGGTAAAGGGAATGTGTATGTCATAGTTCAGTGTACCGTAGCAAGACATCATAGACTGGGTGACTTAAATGGCAAAAATTAACTTCTTATTGTTTGGGGGTTCAATTCCAAGATCATGAAAGCAGATTTTGGTAGGAACCTTCCCGGGGGCTCGAATGAGTGCCTTCTTGCTGTTCTCCTCTATGAACACAGGACAGAGAGCAGAACACCTAATTGCTCTCATCAGGGTACCATCCCATCATGAGCATCAGCAGCCTGCCTTGAAGACCTCATCTTGGTCCAACCACCTCCCAAAGGCCCTATCTCCTAATGTCATCCCAGCAGGAGCTGAGTTCATTATATGAATTTTGAAATTCACCACACAGTCCATGGCACATATTTATTTAAAAATAAGAAAGAAATTGAAGAAGATGTGTTATATGAGTGGTTTTATGAAGCTAAATATTCATAAGCAAAGCTTTAGGAACAGAAAAAATAGGATGATAATAATTGTGTCTTTGAAGACTTTCTTAAAAAGATTCATTTATATGTTTGTGTGTGTGTTCATGTATGGGTTGAGATTAGACATCAGCTTGCAGAAGTCAATTCTCTCTTCCCATTATTTATTTATTTGTATTTATTTATGTGTACATGCATATGACACAGCTTTCCCAAGGAAGTGAGAAGATGACGGTTCTCTCCTTCCACTACCTGAGTTTCTGGGACTCAAGTCATCAGGCTCGAAGGCAAGGCCTCCTGCTTTATTTGAGGCAGTGTCTCTCTTGTTTCTGCTGCCTACTGGCACGGGAGCTTCCACTGGCTTTCCTGTCTTCTGAAGGTAGGTCTTGGGGGATCACAGCCATCTGGCTTTTTATGTTGACCCTCGGATTGATCTAAGGTTGCCTTGAGCAGTGGGTGCTTTTCCTTGCTTCTATCATCTGACCCTACCCTTTAGGATTAAAATGTAGCTTTTCTGGGCAAAAGGCCATTTTCTGGAAAGTTATATTTATAGTGTTGGAATTTAGCTATTCTGGTGATGTGGGAGAGCAACAGAGTGATGCCAGGTGGATGTTTCATCCTTTTTTATGTCAGTCTGTATCTTTATCTTAGGAACCATGTGTCAGTAGAGAAGTTAGTTGGCAATGAAACATCTCGTAGATTGGGCTGCCCAAGCAGTTGGTTTTTGCTGTTGTTTATTTATTTATTTTTGAGACAGGGCCTATATAGTCCTGGTTGACCTATATGTTGCTATGTAAACTAGGCTGTCCTTAAACCCAGAGATCCAACTCCTTCTGCCTCCTGAGTGCTGGCCCTGATTAAAGGTGGTCACTATGCATGGTATAAGAAGGTTTTAAAAAATTATTTTTATTTTCTGAGAATTTGCGGTTTGCCTGCATGAATGTATTTGCATCATATATGTGTATACCTGGTACCAGAAGAGGGTGGTAGAATCCCCTGGAACTGGATGTGTGTGTGTGTGTAGGTGGTTGTGAGCCACCTTGTGTATATTAGGAACCGAACTTGGACCCTCTCTGCCAGATCACCAAGAGTATTTCAAACTGCTGAGCAGTCTCCCTAGGCCCAGGCCGGGAAGTTCTGCAGGTATGACTGCTCTGTGAGGCTAGTAGCACATTTCCCTCCAGTCCCTCGTGGTAATCTTTCTGCTTCATCCTTCTACAGGGTGTTCATCCTCGCTGTCACCACGATGGCTAGATGTGACAAGGTGATGGTGATCTCTATGCTCATCTCTCCCAGTTGTGGGTAAGGGGAGATGAGGTAGGTGTCTAGAGACACCATGAAAAAGAAGGAATTGGTATATACTTTGAAGTAATGTTTAACCAAGAGGTTAATTTCTATAAGAATTCTACTACCAAGCTGGGTGGTGGTGACGCACGCCTTTAATCCCAGCACTCAGGAGGCAGAGGCAGGTGGATCTCTGGGAGTTCGAGACCAGCCTGGTCTAGAAGAGCTAGTTCCAGGACAGGAACCAAAAGCTACGGAGAAACCCTGTCTCGAAAATCAAAAAAAAAAAAAAAAAAAAAAAAAGAATTCTACTACCAATGGGTTACCTTGTTAAAATCTGCATGAGACTTACATATAATCTCCAGGTATATGGACTCTTCCGAAGGATTTTTTAAATCCTTCTTAAAAATGGCTCAAAATTGTAAATGCTTCATACCCTACGAAACTAGATTGCCTGTGGTCAGTATGGACATTTAATAATGAGTTCCCATCAGTGAGAGTCAAACGAATAGTTCCTCCGAGGAACAAATAACACTAATGGTGCATTGTAACTGGGACCTGATAAATTATCTGGTCCCCTAATGAGGTGCTTAATAAACTTGTGCTGACCAAAGAACAGTAAAATAAATGAAAGAAATATAGTCATGCTTGAAGCACTTACCAAGTACTTCTCTCTGGATGGTGGAATTATGACTTTTATTTCCTTCATATTTAGCTGGGTTTTTTTTTAACGTAAAAACTTCACATCCTGGTGTGATTACACATCCCAGAGATCTCAGCTTTTGGGAAGAAGTTGGAAGAGAGTTCAAGGCAAATGGAGGCTATCAGAGATACTGTCACTCAAAACAACAAAATCACACGGACCACGTAATACCTCGGCTAATTGTCAAGCTAATTAAAAGGCCACAGAATGGGTGGGCTTTGAGCAGGACAGGTATGAGAGTGCATGCTCCGTGACCTTCTGCTACCTCAGAGGATTTCAAGTCCTCAGCACTTTTAGCTCAGGAAGTCTCCAGTACCAGCCGTTGTCTGAGACCAGAAGAGGGTACAAGACAGGTCTAGAGCAAAGAGCTCCAGTCATCTAGGGGGGGTCTGTGCAGAGGAGGGGAGGAGAGGGAGGTGGAGAACAGACCGCGTGGTCCTCCAAACACACACATACATCTGCACATTGGTTATGTAGTTTCTTCATTTTATCGCCAGAGAAGATTTGGGGCATGTCCTAAACACCCCAGAGAATGGTTGGCTACATTTGGATAAACTCAGCAGCAATATCCACCCACTTCAAGAAGGACCTTGAAGAGAAAAAAAAAAGCAGCATGCTAAATTTGGGGTTAATGTTTTTTAATGTTATTGAAAATGACCACTCCTGCTTATTTATTTCTTACATTAGACACAGAGTGTCTTACTCTAAATGCTGCCTCCGTTTATTTTCTTCTTGCCTTATTTATTTTCTTATGAGGAAGAGGCCACTATCAACTCCATTTTGCAGAAAGAAACGCTCTTAAAAATTCCCCAGAAGCACTCTCCTTTCCTTGCCACTCCCTTTCAAGGAGCTGGTCTACAACCCAGAAAAATAAACTAAAATATAAACAAAAATATAAACAAGTCCAAGCTGGGCTTGTGAACAACGTAATATTTAGACTTTGAAGTTGAACAAAATGAAAAAAAAAATTGAATTGAAAACTAAAGAGGCTGATTTTCCAGACACTAACGGGTGGATTTTCAGCTCATTTCATTAAGCCGAATTTCGAATTTACTTTTCAATTAAGTGTCACATCGCTGTCACAGCTGGGTCTTTTTCCATCTTCCAATTTCATCTGAATGTGAAAAGCGATTCGGTTGTGGTGAGTGTGACCGGTGAGGTCTGGGGAGGATCTTCCACCCCTATTGTTTTCTTGGGTGTCCTCGCTCCGGGGGCCTGGCATTCCTCACGTGTCTAAGGTCCTGAAGGAGCAGTGAAGCGCGGGGAAGCCGCACAAAAGACGTGCACAGGCTATCAGTCTAGAAAGATAAATTCAGTGTGCAGCCAAAATGCCCAGTACGCCTGGGATGAGGAGAAAAATACCCCTCCCGAAAGGGAAGGAAATTGGTTGACCTGTGGGGGTCCACAAAGAACTGGCTCGTTTGCAGGGGATGATCTTACTGCTGGGTCCCTCGTCAGTATCTTAGCTGGCGTGGTCTCACCCTTTCTGTCCTAGGAGGCTCGGAAGGGTAGGGAGAACAGTGCAGGGCATCCACAGCTTCCCCCAGCAGCTTTTGGCTTTTACTAAGTCGCAGACGCTTCCTTCAGTCGTCTTGCTAGCGCCGCAGCTCCGAGGCAAGGTGGGGACGAGCAGAGGCGGGCTTCGTGGCCTTGGCTGCGGCCAGCCCAGCCCGGCTCGGGAGGGGTAGGGCGAGGCTGTGCAGCCTTCCCCACACAGCTTTGAGCCGGCACAGCCCTCGGGATCCAGATCTCTGGATCTGCAGGACAGACGTGCCTCCTCCCGCCCCTCCCGGCTCCTGCCTCTCGCCGGTGAAGCCTCCGTCGGTTCCCACGCCACCAACTGACAGGCCCCTGGAAGGCCAGACAAGACACAGCTTTCTTATTTGGGTCTGCCCTCCCGCCGGCAAGGGTGTGCGCGAAATCACACAGACAGACACACCTCGCCCTCCATGCTACACACACACACACACACACACACACACACACACACTACCCTCCCGCTGCACCCACACGTGCCACAGAGACATGCAGTCCGCCCTTCCTGCAACACACACACACACACACACACACACATACACACACACACACCTCGCTCCCCTTCTCCCTACAGCACACAAACAGGCAGACAGACATCCTCCAGCCTGCCTACCCTCCTCCCTCCCCGCAGCCCCGGCCGCCGGGCCCCTCTTCCCGGATCGCCGCGCCCGGCCCCGCGCCCTCCGCAGGCCCCGCCCCGGGGGAGGAGAGCCGGACGCGCGCGGGAGCTGGGGAGGGGAGGGGCCGGGCGGCGGGGGAGTGTCTGGCTGCCCCCGCCCCTCGAGTGAGCGACTGGGCGCGGAGGTCCCCTCCCTCCTCGCTGGAGTCTGCCAGCTCCCGCTCGCTCCCTGCCCACTCCCGGGGGGCTGTTCCGTGGCGCGGCCGCCGCGGCCACCGCTTCTTTCACACTTTAGTTGCGAGCGGCGCGCCGCGCTCAGTGACTGGAGAGCTGGCCGCACGCCGCCTTCCCGCACACACGCACGCGGGCCCGGCTCCGGGGCTTTCTGCTTTTACTCCAGGCGGCTGGGAGGAGGGGGAGCCCCGGCCACACTGTGGGGAGGAGGAGGACGTGGAAGAGGGACGAAGAGAACGGGCAAGGAGGCCAGGGGCGGGGGGCGGGGGGCTTGCCACCTTCAGCCCCCCCCCGCGAGCGCCCAAGGTAAGCTGGAGCCACCGCCGGCGCGCTGGGCATCCCGGGTGGGCGAGGAGGGAGGCCTGTGGGGTGCCTGCCGAAGGGATGGGAGCCGCGATCCTGGCGCTTGCCGGCACTCTGCCCGGGCTGGGCTGCTGCTGCTGCCTCTGCTGCTGCGGGGCTGCCGGGGCTGCACGCTGCAAGGGACCGGAGCCAGGCTGGGGGAGCTGCAGGGGGGGCATCTTGCTTGCTGGGTGGAGGGACTGGGATGCGGTTAAGGCTGCTGACGACTTTCGTCACATCGAGGCCTGGGTGGCTGGTGTGAGACACCCCTCCCTTCCCACCCGCACCCCGCGCCGCCCTCAGCCTTCCTGCTCTTCTCTAGCTTTGCCTGTAGCCACTGTTACTTTGCAAGCAGGAGCTGGGAAGGAAAAAAAACCACCCAAATTTAGAATGTTTTGCTAAGTCTCCAAGTCCCTTCTCTCGCTCCCACTGGTGGTGCGTTTATGTGGGTGATGTGATCCCCGGAATTTCTGAAGTTTTGACCTTTTCGGGGTGGCTTGTTTTCTGTAATCTGTTTGCCTTCCTAGGTGTATTTATTATTCGTGCCCTTGCGCGGCAGCCCGAGGGTGCTTGGTTATATTACATGAGCAGCTTTTTCTCCCCTCTGCAGGCAGTTCGAGAAGTGCCGCGGCGGCTCCTGGGCTGCCTTTGCTCAGCTGCTTAATGTCCTTCCTTATCATCCACCCTGCCCCCCTCCCTCCAGAGAGATCCCCCCATATTTAATGTTTGTGTGGGAGAAGTCTCTAGGCCGAAGAGCTTTCATTGCCCATTCATTCCTCTTCTGAAGGCCATGAATGGCTCAGGCTTGCTGGTGAAATTTGGGGGTGCCTTTCCTCGCTAATGGAGTTGCATGGCCAAAGAGAACAATATGCACAGCCGAACAGGCATTAATCTTGAGAGCTAGCAAACACAGTTTGAGAGGGAAGTGATTTGTTTCCAGTAGGAAGTTGTCAACCTATGAGATACCTTCATCGTATGTGAGTTGGGAAAAGTGTTTTAAAATAGAGCTTATGTTCTGCGTGGCTGGAAGACAGCCATAAGTTCAGTTGCTGAGCAGCTCTGAAAGTGATACACCCTGATCAGCCAGAAGCTCTCTGAAGACGCTATACTCTGACTCAGACATTGGGAGGGGGCTGGCTGGCCACAGATTTCCTGCAGGACTTTTTTTTTCCCTTTTAGAAACGTGGGGAACTGTCGAGCTGGTTGCACACATGGTTATAAAAAGCACCCTTCCAATTCAAGGCCATGGGCTTACTTTCTGCCCAAGGAGAATAACCTGAGTTTGGTAGAATTAGGTACCAGGATGAAACAGACATGGGTGGAGTGGGCCTGGAGTACTTCAGATATGGGGGGAGGGGCGAAGGGACTGGGTGATAGTTAAGAAGGTTCGGTTAAGTCCAAGGTGTAGATTCGGGGGTGGGGATGGGGGGGGGTTCTATCCTTTTTTCATACTTCTGCAGATGGCATATGTGATCGCCTGAGTATGTGCTGTGTTGTTTGGCTGGAAATCCAGTTGATGGGATTTGGAAATTAATCTGGACTCCATCATCTGTTTTTGTTTTCCTACTTACAAGGAAGGAAGGGTTCCTGGGATTGAACAACCCGGCGTATTTAAAGGCATTGGAAGCTAGGCTCGCATTAGCTCTTGGGGGCTCAGAAGGGCAGTATGGAAATGTAATCTCTTCTAATGTTTGGCGCTGTGTGAACGAGGTTCAGAGAGGTTCAGAGAGCCGCACTACTAGGAAAGCAAGAAGTGCTCTGGACCTTTTGGAGGGGAGACTGTCTCAGGAGGGCCGAGTTACCTCTGCCGCTTAGCTCTCACCTCATGTGGAAAATACTCTCTCCATGCACACCCCTTCTAGGGTAGAACCTAAACCCCACTTGCCCTCTGTCCACGTGGGCGGTAGAGTGTCCACATCCTCCAGCTGGAAAAAGTTCATTCTAGACGGATCTCAGTGTTCTCAGCTTCCTTCTTCAGGGCTAAAAGTTTTCACTCCAAGCTGAGCAAAAACTGATAGTTTTGTTTTCTTGGCTAGTAATTTACTCTTCCCCAGCCTACCTCCCGTAATCATTTTGCATGGATTCCTAGGAGCTGATAGGGCATTGTATAATGTGGTTTGATGAGATCTTGTCTCAAAGGAGGGGGTCAAAGTTCCTGAAGATGACCCCTGAGGTTGTCCTCCATCCTTCAGATGTGCTTGGGTTCTCCCTCTTGCCTTCCCACTCCCTCTCCTCCCTTCCACCCACTCTCTCTCACACACACATACACACCATCACCACCACACCACCACCACCACCACCACCACCACCACCACCACCACCACCACCACCACCACACACTTCAAAGAAATGACTTGAATCTCCTGAAGAGTCTCAAGAGATAAATGAAGAACTCCATTCATTGGGTTCCTGTTGTGACTGACTCAACCGTGCCACTGAGGACGAAGATGGTTCACAACTTGTACCATGTCTAGGATGCAGGTGTTTTAGTCTAGTATTGGATTTGGCGCTGAGCAGGCTTTGCTCCATGTTGTGTCTGAGTGGCTTGCTCTAGGCTCTTGTTCGACCACTTCTACTGCATGCTCTTTATCAACGAAGTTGTCAAAAGCTAAGTGTCCCTGTGCTTCCCTTAAGTCAGAGAGATGCGGGGGAGATTTATACAGAGAAACCTAAGTGGGCTCCGTTTGAACACATCTTTATAATTGGTAGCCATATAAACACCTTTTGTGGCAGGTATATTTAGATACAAACGCCTGGGCTTTTGTATCCTTTGAAGTTTTCTTCAAGCCCTAGTTTGAAGGTAACTCGAAGGAGAGACTAGCACGGCAGTTCTAGCCGGACACTGTGGAAGAAGAAAGTGAGTTAACAAAAAAAAAAAAAAACAAAACAAAAAAACAAAAAAAAAACCGCTCCACTTGCATTGTCTTATGATACAATGCTTTGTTTTCCTTCAGCTTGTTAGAATTGAGTATGGAGGGGGCGTGGCATTGCTTTGTGTATCCTGAATGTATTTCTCCCCCTGCTGTGTTGTTGAGGTCTTCCGCTGTGGGTGCTGGTTTAAACTGTTTAATTCTGGATCACCTTGTGGCTAAACCCTGAGACCCTGAACTCAGGAGAGTAGTGGGGTTGAGGCTGTGTTCAGGAATGAACTGGAGCCCCTGAGCCGGCCCTCTGAGCAGCACCCTGCTGGCTGTCAGTCAGAGAGGAGGCTTGGCACGTTTGTCCTTACAATGCAATTTTACATGAAAATGATTTCCACAAAAAAGTTCATTTGCCTTCAACGTTTCAGGAACCTATTGACTGTGCAAAGCAACCCAGACAGCTAGTAAATAAGAATCCACTCTGATAATGGAGGGTTTAGACTTAGTTTCATGAAAAAGTATATCTTTTCAAAAATACTGTTTTGGAAATGATTACAGGGGAGACTCCACCCCACAGTGAGTGGAGGGTTATGGGAGATGATCCAGGTGCGAAGACCCCACACAGTGTACATGGTGGGTGTTCAGGTGTTTCTCTGATCCTGCTCTACGTTAGTATGCAGAGTATTTTCAGTAACCTTTCTGTTTATTGTGTGTTTGTGAGCACACGTCCATGTGTGTGCAGAGGATAGAGGACAGCTTACAGGAGTCAGTTTTCTTCCTGCACCATGTGGGCTCCAGGGTTCAAACTCAGGTTGTCAGGTTTCATAGCTTGAACTCTTATCCGATGAGCCATGTCACTGACCCAAGTAGAAGTCATTTTTAGCCGGGCGGTGGTGGCGCACGCCTTTAATCCCAGCACTCGGGAGGCAGAGGCAGACGGATCTCTGTGAGTTCGAGGCCAGCCTGGTCTACAAGAGCTAGTTCCAGGACAGGAACCAAAAAAGCTACGGAGAAACCCTCTCTCGAAAATAAAAAAAAAAGTCATTTTTATATTACGAATATTTTTTTAGCAAATATGCGAATTTTAAACTATTTCATGATTCTTCTTTAAACATCACTTCATAGTGTGGGGGAAGTAAATTGTTCTCAATAAAATCTGAAAAGTAGATTGTAACAGACAGTACAAAATACTGTTTAGAAAACTTCATGTGTGCGTGTGCATGCGCCAGCGTGCACACACAGGAATAGGTCTTTTGTGCAGGAAGAACTGTCATACTAAAACTGCATTTTAGGGTGACAGTTTTGACTTTTAGGGCTCATAATTCAAGAGCTTATCTGAAGTGGTGTGTAAATTATACATATACATATTTTTAAAGTGGGCAATCATTCAGCCTGTCTCAGTTCTGAAGTTTAATTTTACGAGTTACAGTTGCAGTAAGAAACAACATGACATGCTGCCGTTATGCAATTATGAGAGGAGCGCTTGGGGGTAAACCAGGACAGGATAAACATGGAGATGAATGCATAGCAGTGTCTGCAGTCACTGGCTATTAATATGATCCTTACTTTCCTATAAATGTGTAGCTGGAAAGATGTATGCCCTCAGTTGTAAGTTGCTCTGCTCCCTACACTTGGGAAAGAGTACAGCTTCCCTAATCTGCACGCAAGCTCCTGACCAGGCTGCTGGCAGGCAGGGCTGTCGTCTCATCTCAGAAACCCCCGTGGCAGCTGGCAGGGCACTACTACTTTGCACTTGGAAGTCACTCAGATAGTAATCAAACTAAAGGAATTAACTTAATTAGTTCAGGTCTGTAATGTGTTAAAACCTTGGAGAAATACATTAAATGCAGACATAGTTTTTTAATAAATCTGTGTGATAGTTTATTAAGATTGTGTATTCTCTATCAGGGTGGAGCTTTTGAAACATATTTGATGGGGAAGTAAATATGGAAAACAGGATACTTTAACAGATAACCGCAGCTCTAACTTAGGGTCATCTTAATTTGGAATAGCCACCATTTCCTTACCTGATGAATCCTCCTCTCCTATGATCTTCACCCTTTTGTCTGAGGAGCTCAGCCAACACCTATACCTCCTGTTTAT